GAGGGAGGGAGGGAGGGAGGGAGGGAGGGGGACTATAGTACAATAAAAAGGGAATAACTGTGATGGATAAAGGAAATACCTTTATTCACCTTATTGGCTACCTTGGCTATCTCAGAAGCTAAGCAGGGTCCATTAGTACTTGAATCCTGGCAATCCCAGGTCTATCGTTCCAGGCTGGGCAAAAACATCCAGAGGAAAGCAAAAGCCACTCATTCCAACCACGGATCCCTGGAGTCAGCCTTGAGTAGTAATAGGGAACTATTACTTTTTTCAAGAAAAAGAGAAGTTTAGAACTATGAAGCAAGTGCTTCCCTGCTGTGATGCCTGTGGCTCTCCTTGCCTGGCTACCAAGAAAAACTGGATGAGTAGGTAACTATGCTGTAATGGTCTATGAGAATAACTTTGGGAGACAGGAGGAAGAGATGCAGCCCAGGCACCGTCATGCAAAAGATATCTCACACCACAGAAGGAAAGGGGGCACGGGAAAGGTCTCAGAGAGGACCCTCCCTAGATTCTGGAAAGTAAAAGCAAAGGAGGGGAGGAATACTTTCAGTCATGCAAGACTGATGTTAGCCCTTCGAGGCACTACAGACAAGAAGCACCAACCATGAGTACTAACACTACCTTTATTGCAAGGTTACAGGAACAGGATCTTGCAAGTCTGAAAGCACTTCTCCCCTCCCTTACTTTTACTTCCCATAAAACTAGGCAGGGTCCCTTCTGAGACACTTTTTCCACTCCTCTCCCACCTTCAGACTTAGATTTTGTTTATCAGACCATTTTCTAGGCTGCGGCTTTCCTCCTGTCTCCCACGGTTATTCTCACAGACCATTACGTACACTCCAAGAGAGAGACTGACTGATGTCTTCCACTGAATAGAAGGAAGATGATTCCTATGCTCGTTGTTGCTTTGTTGGTACCAAACATGAAAAGCTAAACACCAAATACGTTGGTTTACCAGGCCTGTGTAAGCATTGGAATACGCCATGAAAGTCTCCGAGAGGTTCAAACAGTGGGTAGGAAGGTAAGAAAGTAACATGGCAAAAATGGCAATAGAGATCCTGCAAGCGGAATATCCAATTTTAGGGCAGAAGACACCTACTAGACATGGGATCTGATCGATAGCCATAGAAGGTCTCCTGTAAAAATAGCATAAACACTCACCAGAGTTGAGCTTACGGCTCATTTCAGGAGATGGGGTTGGTGATGGAAGGAAGTCTAAGTGAGAAGAGGTTGACTGAGTTTTCTCCTTTTGTGCCATGCCAGAGTCTTTGATGAACCATACAAGTGGGAGGCCACAAGATGGTTGCTTGTACCGGGCATGTTGCAACGCGTCCATCATCCAACGCATTTCTCGCCAAATCTCCTCCATTTGCTGTCCAAGAGAAAGGAACCAAAAGAATCAGTCGTGTATTTCGCGGACCTGCAAGGCCACGCTTCTGTCATACCTTGCCTATTACAAGTTTCTGGCAGAAGCCACAATGGTGTCAAAAGGCACCATCACCCAAAAGCCAAAGCAGAAGTTGCAGGGCATCAAACACTCTATAAAAGGAATTTGTAGCATGTGATGAAGCCAAACCATATATGCATGCTGATAACAAGAGCAAAATTACATCAGTGATCAGATTCCATAAACGCAACTATGACTTACCACTCAGCAAGTGGCTAAATAAGTATCTGCCCCACATTTTTGGTCCTTGTTCCATACCTGCATATAATCCTGAACTTGCTGGTGCCGCTGCTTGGCAGTAGTTAGTTCTGAGTCTGAGAAGGCCTCCCTGAGGCTCTGTTGAGAGAGGAGCGATTCTAGCTCCAAAAATGCAGATACTTGGCAATACTGGCTAATAAACTCATGGTCATAAGTGAAGAAATGAACTAGAAAACAAAGAGGAAGAAGGACATCAGAGGTCATGAAGAAAAGCATCCAAGAAGCAGAAGCTGATTCTTGCATTTGTTCAAAGAACAACAATCCTATGATGAGGCTTTTGATCCCTATTTTAAGAGGCATTTGCTGATGGGAGAAGTATTTATTGGTCATCTCAAAACTTCAGCATCTATAGCCTTGTACATTCATTATTCTTTTTTTCCCAGAACTTGTTTCTTGATTCAACAAACTACACGTCGTCATACAAAATATGTAGGGCATGCTCCAAAGCCAGAAAACATCAATCTGAGTCAACTGTAAGAATTTGACTGCGATGTACTATATTGAATTTTGCAGCATAACGTGGGATGGCATGGGAAAATGCCTTTTTTCTAGGGAAGGGGAGAGGAAATGACCTCACATAGGAAAAAGGACAGCAAAGAATAGTATGATGGAATCTTGAAGGATTACTACTTAACTGGATATATTTTTGACTGAATACCTGAAAAATAGAAGTGTGCTGGTTCCCATAGGTTCAAAATCAGGTGAGAAATGTGGGAATGTGTAATAATTCAAAACAATGACTGAAGCAGCACACGATGCATTCTAAATGCATGCATGCTACAGTTATGACAGTCTTTATAGCTACACACATGGACATCTTTCTGACACCATCCCAATTCATAGAGTATGGAGAACACTGCAACGCAATAAATATTATCCTATACAGGCACAGCGTTAGTGTTTTGGATGCTTATTTAGGGTTCCCCTCTTAGTTGTTCTTGAAATTGGAAAGATAAAATATTGGGAGGGTAGGGGAAAATAAATTCTAATGCAGGAAATTGTCTCGGGAGTTGAATGGAAGTTCTGTCTTTCTGCTACACCTTCCATCTTTCTTTCTCTCCACCCACTTCTGATGAGCATCCATGAATGTAACTTTTGAAATTAGCCTGAGGAGTGGACGTTGCCCACTCGCTGAAGGGGAACATCCTTTTTAATCCCCTTTAAAAATATTCGGGCTCAAGGGCGAAGGATCATAATTTCTGTGAAGGAACAAGAACATAAAACGACAAGGAAAGAAGTCTTCCTGTGCAAGGTTCCTCACCTAGCTCGAAGATCTGGAGAGGAAGGGTGAGAAAGCCAGACCGAGGGGTGTAAGGGTTGTTCTGGCCAGGGGCAGTACACACATCATCTGAAGGGGGAAGAAGCAGAAGAAAGGAGACCTGTCCTCCAAAGTCCAGAACTTCCTGACTGTACAGGCGGAAATCTTTGGCCTGAAGAATTCAAACATGGAAAAGCAATGTTTTATTGGTGTGGTGAAGTCACTAATAGCTTTACATTGTCTTTGTCCAAGCTCCCAGCTGAAGATGTATTAATTCTACAGAGAAACAGAGAGTGGATTTCTCAGAGTCGCGCCCACAACTGCAATCACCATATTTATTTTATTCCTTATTGAATTCATATTCTCCCTCTTCTCTGAAAGTTCAAAATGGTGCACATGGTGGAACTCCCCTCCAATATCTTCCTCACAACAACTCTGTGATGCTAGGATGTTGGCCCAAACTTACCCAATAACTATATGGCCAAGTGGGGACCTGAATCTGAATCTCCTGAGTCCATGTTTGATCCATTAATCAACAGTGGTTGAGGAAAGAGGCTTAGAGGCATGATACACCATAAAGTTCTTCTTTACATAAAAATCTAGCTTGTAGAAGGAAGGGCGTTGGAATCAGACGGCTTTGCTCCATTGAATTCCCATGTACATGGCAACTGCCAAAATCAATATTGTTGAATCCACTCTTTGGGGGTTAGAGGGTTATATTGAGATGGCTTATAGTGACTGGAATGTCTTGGAAAGATCTTTTGAACTTTCCCACTGTTACACAGACCTCTTACTAGACTCTGACAAATAATACAGAATACAAATGTACTTTACTCAATGTAGGAAGCAAAGGAACTTGAGCGTTTACATGCAAGCAGAAGCTAATATTTTGATGGCCACTTCCAGTGCTTATTCACATTCTTCCTGAATTAGTTGAAGAAGATCCAAATATTATGAACGTTTAGGGTCATTTAATATTTAAAAAATATAAAATAAAATCCCTCCAACAATAGGTTTTGTAGATTTCTATTGTTTGGGCCTGACAAGTAAACAAAGGACAGATCTGAATTAGTTAATATTTGTAAAGCCGATCTGCTTTAGAAGTAGGACTTTATCACCATTCAGGCTATCGATGTGAGTCTTAGAAGTGTAAGGAGCTGTCCAATGCCCCTCCCACCTCCCACCTCCCAGCCCCACTGCAGGGTCTCTGGTCATGTAGGTGCTTCTGAAGTTTGTTGTGAATTGAATGCTAAGGTCTGGAGAGAGGCTGTGAGCAGATCTGGCTGAATTAATGTTTTAAGTTTCCCCGAGATTGAGAATGTGCCTTATTGGCATTTCCAATCATGGGGATATAGAGATACTTCCTTGCTTGCTTATTTATTTATTTGCTTTACAACCCTCATGCAAAAATTGCAAGAAGGATGCTTACCAGTGGGTTATTGTCCCAGGACAATTTAAACTCTTTTATATGTGGGTTAATTGGATATTTTTAAATGCACCCAAATCAGGCCATTGATATCACTGCATAAACAAGATTTACTCGAGCAAGACTGGTCCCACTGTGGCTTTGGAAAAAAACTGCATCAAAACTGCAAAGATGCTCATCTTTGGTTACCTAATTGCTACTTCAAAAGAACTTCGTCAGTGGCCTAAACTTCATCTTTGCGAATTGTAAGAGTAAGATGGCACCAGTTCAGATATGCTACAAAATCCACAGTACCTCTTTCCCCCTACCCCTATAACATGGTTCCCACCTAGGATCTACCTCATGCAGTGGGATGTTGACCAGGTGCATCAACTCTCTGATTGCCCCTTGGAGCTCCTGAAGAAAAAGTTGCTGAGAAGTTTCCAGTTCTTGCTCAGTGGGAATGGGTTCTTCCATGCTGGCCAGATTCTGCAGCCATTCCCATTCCTCTCTTGAAAACGGGCAAATGGATAAATGCAGAGAAGAAATCAGTGAAGTAAATACAGTGGAACCTCGGTTTACGAACTTAATTCATTCCGTGACTCTGGTCGCACCCTGAATT